AGGTCAGACTCTGATTGCATCTCAAGAGAGTTAAAAGACAAGCCCTCAGTTTTAGCCAACACATAGTCCAGCATGATTTGTAATCTAATAATGGAAGAACACATGACCACCACACATTGCCTTTAAATCTTGTTTGACTCTTACCTGTAAGCCTTGGAGTCTATGGAGATAATACTTGTTAATACTCATTAGACAATTAATTAATAATATCCTTTTATGTCATGCTACTCAGCAAGAGCTCTTGTGCCATGAATTAGTAATTCTGATCTGAGAGGTACAAGAAGGATAGCAGTGGCAGAAGAACTGAAAACCAGGGTTGTCCTTCTTGCAAGCTCAATAGTAAAGCTTCTCAGTGCTCTACATTTCTCAGTAATTAAATTGGTGGGAGCACATACTTAAAACAGCTTAAGTCTCTTAAAAAAACTCTTATTCTGAAGGGTCACTGGAGGGAAATGTAGAGGGGTTTTTTGGTGCTGGATCTAAATAGCTAGACAAAGCAATAATCTCAGCATTATCACCAAACTGTCATGCCTCCCATCAAACATTTTGGGAAAACATTTTGTAGGAACCTTTGGCAAATACTTATACACTAAGCAGATGAACATAAACACAATCATGAAATAAACCAGATTCATGACTTAAACTCCTTATATGAAACTGGGATGACAGCACATCTCCTTCCTTATGTAATGCATTGTTCATTCCGTAGAAGATGCAAGAAATACTTAAATGCCTTGTGGTCTAGTATCAAGATAGGCAGCCAGTTTTGTGAAGACTGAGTATTTTGAACCATAACTCTGTTCTTAGACACTGTCCACCACAGTAGTAATGAATACCTTTCATTCTTTTTTTTTCATACAAGACTATAATTTGACACTTGTGGACAAGCTGCTACGTATTTTTTCCATTAATGGATAAATATGCAAATGCTTTGAAGGATCATGGCTAGTGCCTCTTGGCTGCACACAGAGGTTGCATGAGTTTTGTCAGCTGCTTTTGTCATGCTTTACTGGCATAAAGAACAAACCTGACGATCTCTGAGAAACTCTCTGAATAGACTGATTTTATTTGTAATCATTTCAAAGATGCATGTTTTTGATGACAGAGAGTCCAGCTTTGCCCTGAAGTGCTGCTCATCAATCCTGAAATATATTTACTTTGCTCATAAAATTTTCTTACATGTCATTGTGGAAAAGTTAAAATCTCACTAACTGCGAAGTCACCTGGAGCAACTGATCTCTACGAAGTCACAATATTCCCCATTTCCCTTCTGCCTACTTCCTTCTCTCGTTTAAAATTTTCTACCTTGGATCTTTATCCCTGGAGTCTGTTGCCTCACAGACTGAAGACAATCTGAAAGTGTTATTAATGAAAAGGTGTCCTGGTTTGAGCCAGGATTAAGCCAATTTTTCTTTTTACTGATTATTTTTAAAAGATTTTTAATATATTAAATTATAATTTTAATTTAAACATATTAATATTTATTAATATTTAATATATTAAACTATTTAAAGGGAACACATATTTCTAAAAAAATAAATAAATGAAAAAGAAGGGGAAAAAAGCTATTTACAACCAGTCCTAGGAAAATTTTTTAACCATGTTTCTTAAAATTAACTACCAGAGGAGGTAATAATTTAACTTTGTCCTCTACGTTGGAGTATCTGTCTCATACCAGAAGTATTACAAGAATGAAATATAATAGCAATGTGCACATTTTTATGAATTGAACACCTGTTGCCTAATTATTTTCTCATCTTAAGATTATGAGATAGATGCATATGCCTACATGAAAAGCACATGGGAAAGCACTCAAAAAACCTGAAACAATTAAACCCCTTTCTGATATTGAATTACAAATTATAGCAAATTATATATTTTTTTAGGAATCTGCTAATGAGTGGTCTTCTCGTTCATTGAGTCTTCCTCTAGAATCCTTCACAACATCATGTATTTCCTTTGTAAGGATTGAATGTTGTGATCAAAAAGAGCATCCCTCATGGTATTACAAACCACATTATATTGCAGCTGAAATCTAAGACAGCTATATCACAAAAACATTCCCTCATTGGTAGTAGTCATAAACCACTCCTTACTCTTGAGGCAAACTTCACATCGTAAATGAAACTGCATTTTGTCATGAATATCACTAACTAGATGTAAAGAAATGTTTAGTTTTGCTGCTATTATTTTCCTCTCAAACACAATTGCATTAATTTCCCACCAAAAATGCTAAATGTTGGGCAGTTAGGGTACATTTCTGCCATAAATACTCCTATTTCATATGCCTATAAGCACACCAGACACTACTTAATTTTGGTAAGCAGGATAAACAACCTTGATTACACCCGCCACTGGCCATATATACTCAAAGAAATAGGCACACACAAACAGGGAATATTCTAAATACAAAAGCCCTATATGATCCCACAGTACATATATACGCATAGTAAAATCACACTCACATGCAAGGTTAAATATATTCTAAACACTCCATAATGGAAACATTATAAACACATTTAAAAATTTGCTGAGTAATGTAATGTGGACAAATAAAATCTCATATATATGTATAACAGAGTTTATTTTTTAAATTACGAATGCTTTTAGAAACACGCACTTCATTAATCTTCTAAAGTCACTTTTTGACCAACAGGTGTATGAAGGCTTACAGAGTTTTTCTCTTGGATAAACTCAGAGATAAAGTCTCTGCTTACAATGGTGTTATCTTAAGATAACACTAATTACATTAATGTTAATAATATTAATTACACTAATTACATTAAGCTAATGTTACATAATTACATACATTAATTACATAGGATAACATTAATTATGTTAATTAACAAAATCAATACATCTGTTTTCCTCATAGAGTATTTTGAGCTGTAAAAGGTTAATCTACCACCTTTCCTAGAATATATGGAAACAGTGTCAAAAAGACTTCTTATTTATTCATCATAGTAATTATTGCTCTCTACCTGATAAAGTACCCTCCTTTGCCATTTAAACAAGCAGTTTCCTTTGTAAGCACTGTCAGAAGAAATGTATATTCTAACTCCAGTGAATACAAATCAGCAACCTGCCAAGTTAAATAATACATTTAAAATGGGGCTATTCTTCTTGTGTATTTCAAATTAAATCACTTAATAATCCATGTTTAAATAGGGAAGGGATAGTTGTGAGGCAAATTAACTCTGAATTACTGTGCATTGAAGAAGATTCTGTCCTCTCTAGAAGAAACATTCCAATAATCTCATTTACTTTCTCTTTCAAATCGTCCTCTCCTTTTTCTATTCAAATCTGCTTGGAGAACTTTTCAGAAGTTAAGGCTTTCTCTGTATTTACAACAAGATACAAAGGAATCCTTTCCCATAGAGATTTGTCCGTTCTACTTACTGCTAGTGTGTCTCAGCATCTTCCAGTAGTGCCTTATTTCATATGAATAACACTTATTGTATTACAGCTTGAGAAGTTCAATCATTTATGGTGTCATAGGTGGGCTGACTTCAGTCACAACTAGAAAGCCCATTACCTGAACAAGACAGCTACCAGAAACAAGTAAAGGAATTGATTTCTTCCAAACACTTTAAATAGCTCTGACTTTGAACACCACCCTCCCTCCACACTTAAATGCTAGCACCAGTGAGAGTGAATAGAGACCAGTGAATAACCGACCCTTTGCTGCTTCCTAGGATCCCAAGCTTTTAAACACCAGCTGAGTAAGCTGAAAAACCAGAACAGGCCTCCTTAGCAGGTGGAGGGTAAACACATTCCTGTGACTACTGATCTTGACTAACACATTAAGTTCCTAATCAGAAAATTACTTTTCTTTCCCAACATCCTATCTTTGTTCACTGAACTCAGCTTTCACAATGAAGCCAGAAATACCAGCTTTCTTTCCTCTGTCTTCAACATTAGCAAAATGTCAGTGGGTTTGGATTTCTTGTAGTCAAGGAAAAAGACCATGGTTTAGGGTTTTTGTAACTTTTTTTTTATACTTCTTTGAAAATATTACATAACACTAATAAGTTTTTAAAACCTTCCTTCCTCTCTTTCTTCCTCCTCTTGATAATTACAGCCAGAGGAGTCCATGAATTTCAGGGGAGAGAAATAGATTTTTACCATAATGCAATGATAACTTGGATGAAGATACAGGCATCCACTGCATTTGCTTACAGTGGGTTTGATACTAATTGAGGAGGAATAAATCCTCACTACTTTGCACTCTGTGAAGTCATGTCTAGATCAGATTATTATGCGACTACTTCCTTCTACTGAATTTAAACCACTCTTGACTTTTTATGCACAGCTGAAAATGAGTAGATGAAACAGCACAGTGGGTTAAGTAATCGCAGTGAGCAAGCAATATGTCAGACTGATTGGCTACCAATCAAATAAAGAACCAGCTACACAAACTACACTACTAGTTCTAGGCCAAATTTCCACCTAGTACCCATCTTTTACACCACTGAAGAACAAAATTGACACAAATTGCTGAAGTACTTTCCATGAGTGGACTTGGCTAAAGTGAGTTTTGTAATGCATGTTGCATGGGAAGTACACTTCAGTACTTTTTGCTGCCACTCCCCAAAATCAAAGAGCTTTTAATGGTTTTGAGTACTGATTACTTCACACTATCCCTAAAGACAGATAATATGGACAAAAATGGATGTGCTTTTGATCTCAAAAGCAAAAGGATTGTTTTAATATTGAAAATATAACTCGATGTTCACTGTAGTCCTGCATCTGCCTTCAGGTAACCAAACAGCTTTTGTTATCAAACAAACCCTACTGAAGTCAATGTAGGCTGAAGGTAAACTGTACTTGTAAAAATAACAAAAAATCTATTTTAGGTACCTAAATGTGGGTCTAATAATTTTATTTTAGACAATATTTCCCCCCCATGGGAAAGCATGAAATAACATGTATTTTTGATGTAACCTTTTTGTAACTCTCCAAGCAATGAAATTCAGTGTTGAAAGGCAGTAATACTGTACCTTGATTTCTTCTATTTCATCTGGCACTATCTTGTATGCAGATATAGTCCCACCCAACCTGAAATCAGGAGAAGAAAAATATTCTCTGAAATTAGAAGAAAAATGTTCTCAAAATCAGTAACACAAAGCACAGCATATTAATAGTGTCATGACTTGTTCAAAAACCACAAAGATCACTCCTACCAATTTAGAGGTAAAAATTACCAAGCTCCAAACCAACAAAAAAACCCCAAACCTTTCCCTTTTTTATATCTTCAAAAAAAAGTCTTCAAGTGATTAACATAAACATTCTAAACAAGGTGTCCTTCACTATCCTGAAAGATAAGAATTAGGTCAACAAGTATAATTACCATCACCAGGATGTTATTCTTTACTACTGCCCATCAGTCATCATACTGTATGATTTTTTGTTTGTTGCTTAAGTGGTATGGAAGAGTTTCAGTATTTGAAGCCTTATATGCTTTGTGCTCAGAATTTCACTGAGGTGCTATACAGCCTTAAACGTACCCTAATGCAAGTCTACAAATTGAATTTTTTTAATTAGATGTGCATGTACAGACCTCACAAACCATACAGACTCTATGGCTTCCATGTTTCAAAAGCCTCTGCAGTTCATTATTGGTAATAAAAAGCAGTGATGTGCCATAGTTGGCACTGTAGTAAAAAAATAGGGGGCTTTGTTCCACATTGAACTTACTGAACTTGTCTACATCCTGCAAAAGTCTATAGTAAAGAATAGTTCACATATTGAAGATGCATGAATAACATGTACTATAAACAGTGGTAAACATTATATTTTTCCTAAAGACATAAAGACATGGCTTCTTTTATTTCATTAAGCTGTATCATTGATAGTGACAATTCAGACCTAAAAATACAACTGCACTAATGACCTCCCTGCTGGCTTCACACAGCAACTCTAGTCATCTTCTGGGTCCTACAAAAATGGAAATCACATAAGAAACTATTTATTGTAAAGCAGTAGACAGCCATCAAATGTGTATTTGTATTATCTCCCTATTATTGGAATTTTTCCTTCCAATTGTCAGCATTTCTACACATATATATTTCCTTCTATTCAATCTTGAAGTTACTAGACACGTTGTTTACTCAACCTAAAAACGAGAGAAGATAGTAACACAGCAAATAGGTTAAGATTTTCCTCAGAATTCCTGCCTTTCCCTATCTCTACAAGTAAGTCACACTCATATGAATGGTCTGAAGGTTTTAGACAGCCGACCAAGTCTGCATAGGAAAAGTCAAATCTAAAGACCATCACTGCTCCAAGTAGTATCAACTGTGATTTCCAAGGTAGCAACTGGGTCCAAACATGACAGCGTTCAAATTCGTCAAGAACATTTAGAGTGTAGCAATTGCTCTATACTATTTCCTCTACAACTTCCAGTGCTGCTGATCATTAATGGAGTTGAAAGCTGGAGAGAACTGAAGCTTTTTTTTGCAAGTACAAACATAAGCTTCTGATCTTCAGTATACCTGAACCTTGTTCAAATGGTGTTTCCATGGATAGCTACAAGAAATTGATTTTTAAATAATGACGAAGGATTGCTTTGTCATACTATAACAAGGAATGGCTCAGATAAATGCATGTTACTATATATTATCAGTTCTATTGCTACTGGAATGAGGTCCACAAAAAAAACATTTTTTAATGTAATTTTTTCAGATTCATTCCTGTCCTCACTCTGGGGTACCAAAAAAATAACTTCATTGCCTTAGTCTCTGCTGCCATCACTCCACCAGCAGGAAACTCCCCCTGGCACATTTCTTCATTGGCCACCCTTGGCACAACTAGTAAGCACTTTCTTGTTATACATAAGAAAAAAATATTAAAAATCAAAATAATTGGCTCGGTAAACTCATCTGGCATAATTTTCTGCAAATACGTCTGCAAAATTCTGTGTCAGGAGTTTAACATAATGTCAGTCTGCCAAGTTGCAGTCCAAATGGTACCACAACTCAAAGTAAAATGTCAGTTACCACAATTCCACATTTTTGAAAGAGAAATACATATTACAAGTGATGGTACTGTTTAAATAAACAAACTCTCACCTATAGTGCTAGCTCACCATATGTATCGTAATACATTTTCAATCCTATACTGACATCTTTAGCTTGAAAATCCAGACCATATACATATACACTAACAAATTTGAAACTGAAAGAGAACCAGAGACACACAAATATACAATTCTATAAATGGCTTAGACCTGAAATGAAGTTTTTAAGAAACTCTACACTTTCTTCATTTCAGAACATTAGATTTCACTCCATCTTATAACTACTGGAAAAGAGACTCACCACAACAGATTGCCAGTTAAATGTGATACTGTAGAGGACATATTAAAGACCTTTGTCTTTGTCTATAAAGTTTTGTTGCGAGTTTCACAGAAGCTTAAAAGCATCACACACACTGGGAGGATTCAGTTAACACTGCCTGAACTCTTCTACTGGTCATAAGTTTGATGTGTGAGGGACAGAAGTTTGCTTTTACTATATAATAATAACGTATCTATGAAAAGAAAGGATTTAAGCTGTTTGACAGCCTGTGAGTAGTGAATAACAAGACATATATACAATTTAAGATCAATCTGCTTTTTTCCTGTCAGAACATCTGAATTATCTTCAATGTCATGCACAAAGTATTATGTCAGGTAATTCACTCGCCAAACAAACTTAAGAGGCAGAATCAGTTGTGAAACATGCTGCATACTCTTGACTCAACAATCATTAAACAGTTCTTTCCACCCCCATGGTATACACTCTGAAAAGAAATTAAAAAATGCTTAGTTTGATGTTACCAAATCGCTATTACAAATCTCCCAGAGTCAGATAAGTCCACGGTGGAAGGGACTGCACAATGTCACACACACAGGCACACTACTGAGAAAAAGCAGAAACATTGTGATGAATGTTAAGAAAGGACAACAAAATAAAAGCAAACTGGAAATCAATGCATTAATTGGTATTTCCAACTTAAGTAGAACTTTATATTTGAGTATTTATCTGAAATGCATTGAAGTGCCACTATCAATTCGTGACCTGACTTGAAATTTGCTCGTTATATTGCAAAACCTTGATTTGATCGCTGACACATGAAAGAATAATTACACACAGGAGATTTCAGCTACAAGATGATACATATTCTGTGACACAGGACTTGGACATGGCTTACATTTTTTCATTTTCTTGGGAGAAACCTCTCTCTGCAGGTTGGTTTTTTTAGAACATTTTACACAAACCTTTTTAGATCAGTCTTTCAAGAAGCAATAAACTGCGATCAGAAAAGGAAAACACCAGCTAGCAGAAGTACACATTAACTGCTGTGGTTCTGTACAATAGAAGAAAATGCAGTAAAGAACATGTTAGTAGGGCCAGAATTCGGTTCACCATGGACCAAATTTTTGTGCAGATTCACTCTACATCTTTCACACAATTTAGCTGTATTATAGATTTTATTATATTTTTCTCTGAACAACACAACACTCAGGATCCTACAATATAAATGGCACTTTATCTCAGAACAAATACACTATAAACTAAGAGCAAAGGTAAACATACAATCAGCTGCTTCCAGTAGAGACAGTCAGAAACTTAATATATTGAGATTTAATGTGCAGTCTTTCTATCTGAAATGGCAATATTTTGACACTAGAGCAAGCCACATTATTTAATAGTGAAATGATTAGTTAGCTTTCATTTTTCACATGTATTTATAACATAAAATCTCTAAAAGGTGCCACAATTTATATTCAAATTTTGACAGACATCAGTCTCATCAGGTCTGTATCATACCCTGTATGTAACAGAGACACCCTAGTTCTCTAATCCCTTTGCAGAAGTGAAATAAAATTATTCCTAGGTGTACAAATTAGAGCTGATACAATAAAAGCAAACAACCACAACTCATATTCAGCTAAAATGGTGATGGTTTTTGAGAAGAGAATCAGGAAAGATAGGATAGAAATTCCCTAAAAATAATTAGAAAATAATAAATCTCATATAAGTATTTGCAAAGGAGTTTTTAAAGAATATAAACTCTGTGTCTTTTTTAGGAAAAAAGTGAATCTCAGGTTGACATATAATGCATAGACTGGCTTTGCAGAAAGTTCACAAAAAGTATTCAGCAGAGTGTTGAAAACAAGGTTTCTATAGCAACCCATGAAATTAGCAAAATAGAGGAAATATACTGAAGTGAGGCCAATACAGTTGTATTGGAACAGATGGAAGCTTTACTATTTCACAAATTAAAGCAGAGTATTACTGAAGAGGAAAAACTTGAACTTCATCCAAGCCGAGGAAAGTTAAAAACCAGGAGGGACTATGCTCAAATGGAGGCAAGAAAAAATGAACCACAGAACAAATGGGAAGAGAACTTCAGAAGACAAAACTTAAAGAAATATTAATTGCAACTCTGTTAATGATAAACTATCCATTTAATAAGTTATCCTTTTATGACCCGTTTGTGTTATGTTTCAATATTCTATGTAAAACAGAAACTGAGTTTCTCATTTTTAAAACATTTATTATGGGTATAAGTTTAAAATAGTTACACTATTTTTTCAATATAGTTTCATGTTGGACTTCTGCCCCATTTTCCCCTGTGCCCCTGTATGTGCTGATGGACTCACAGGTTTATTATTTCCTGGCTAGATCATGTGCAAGACACTTGTGCACTTGGGTTGAATCAACACTGGTTGGTTTTGTATGAATTCTGACCAAAGATATGAACATGGGCTTCATAAACTGTCCCACATTCAGTGACTGCCGTAAGAAGCTACGCTGTTGATTCACCCCTTAGCTTAACACATGAGTCACATCAAATGCAATGGAGCCAATTTTCTAAAAATAGCTTGTAGCCAGCTTGGCTGCTGTCATCTCCCAATGCTCTCCAATGCCACTTTAACTAACATTAATCTATTTTCAGATAGATCACTCTGTCTAAATGATATCAAGTTGTAACTAAAACTCCCAGTGAAACTCTGCCTCGTCTTTAAATGAAAGCAAAACTCAAAAACCTCTGCTCAATTATTATTTTTT